TTGTGCCTCAAATGTTGCATATTAACGCGAACGTCAGAGGGAGGACAATTTTAGGGCCATTAATCACTATTGACACGAAACTGATGAGCAGTAAAAGCTTTTAAAGTTGCCTGTGGCCAATTTTGGGTGTGGTATTTTTTTGGCGATTCACTGACGCACTCAATTTTAAATTTTGACACGTTTGGTGTCTATTTACCTGACGTGACCCTGTCCTTTTTTATATTTTACCAAAAATAAGGGTAGGAATTAAAGGAGAACTATGAGGTGAGTGCTTTTCACTCACATCATAGTTCTAGCCGACCTGTGACAATGAGACTGTCACAGGTCGGCTCAGTAGATCGGGAGGTGAGCAAACACATACCCGGTTCACTCACCTCTCAAAACACTGACCCCATAGTTCTATGTTTTTTTAACATAATGTAGGGAAAACTTTTTTTTTATCTCCGAAATTTATGGTACTTTTTTCATTTGTTTAGTAAAACATGAAAAATCCCCAGTGGGGATTAAATACCACCAAAAGAAAGCTCTATCTGTCCCAAAAATTTTGTTTTAGTACAGCATTGTTTGACGGAATAAAGTACAGCATTGTTTGTCAGTCAGTAGCGCACCGCTGAATCCTGAAAAATGTACTGGCCAGGAAGGGGGTGAGACACCCTAAAAATGTTCAAGCTGTAACAATCATGTTACCCTCATGTTAAATGTGGCTTGAAGCACAGCTATAAATGTGAAAGTCTATACTCTGGCAGAGTTTTAGACTTTTGCTTAGACTTCTTTTTTAGGTTTTTAACTTCAATTCCTTTCTATTATGTTGTGCTTTTGCTATAGGGTAGAAGAAGTAGAATTAAGCTACTGGTTTACTATGGCTTGTTGCGCTTTGCTCATTTGCCATACGATAAGTGATCAGTGTGAAGCATTTATTTCTAAATATTCAGGGACATAATCATTATTGTGAAGTTGTTCCTGGGCTTATAATTAGAAGGCACAAGCGTATTAAAGGTATAGACCAGTCAAAGTTTTTTTTTTTTGTTTTTTTTTTTTATACATGCAAATGGTGAACAGCCAACCTGCACAGGGCTTCTGCTTTATGAATTCTAAAACGAACATTTTATTAGTATTCTGGTAGCATTGCCTTGGTCAGGCTTTTCATAAAGAGGCATTTTTTTTTAAATTGTATTTTTAACTGTGCCATCAACCGCTTCTGACTGATATTCTCACACGTTGGCAATTAAATTTGAGAAACTCTCACTGTATGTGCTCCCATTCATACAGCATACCTGCAAAATAACGGATTGGCTGCAATCACTCTTTGGTTGATGATTTCCCATCATGTACCTTTGGAAAAAGTCAATCTAATGATAGACCTCACAATTTTAGGGCCATTAATCACTATTGACACGAAACTGATGAGCAGTAAAAGCTTTTAAAGTTGCCTGTGGCCAATTTTGGGTGTGGTATTTTTTTGGCGATTCACTGACGCACTCAATTTTAAATTTTGACACGTTTGGTGTCTATTTACCTGACGTGACCCTGTCCTTTTTTATATTTTACCAAAAATAAGGGTAGGAATTAAAGGAGAACTATGAGGTGAGTGCTTTTCACTCACATCATAGTTCTAGCCGACCTGTGACAATGAGACTGTCACAGGTCGGCTCAGTAGATCGGGAGGTGAGCAAACACATACCCGGTTCACTCACCTCTCGATCCTGTCACGGCTCTCTGCCGTGACAGGGGAGGGGGCTGGATTCCCCTCTCCCCGCTCCGATCTGCCAGCGCTGACTGGCGGAACGGACGGTGAGGGGGCGGGTACAGCTGGCTCTGCCTCTAGATAGGCAGAGCCAGCTGTCACTCACGCAGCTGGGCGGATCCCGTCATCTAAGTCGTGATCCGCTCCGGCTGCGGCGTCTCAGTATACCGCGAGCTGTAGGTCGCGGTATACTGAGCTTAGGGTAATGGGAGGACGCTAGTTTGTGTCCTCCCGTTACCCTAAGGAGACCTATGGGGAAAAACACTGACCCCATAGTTCTATGTTTTTTTAACATAATGTAGGGAAAACTTTTTTTTTATCTCCGAAATTTATGGTACTTTTTTCATTTGTTTAGTAAAACATGAAAAATCCCCAGTGGGGATTAAATACCACCAAAAGAAAGCTCTATCTGTCCCAAAAATTTTGTTTTAGTACAGCATTGTTTGACGGAATAAAGTACAGCATTGTTTGTCAGTCAGTAGCGCACCGCTGAATCCTGAAAAATGTACTGGCCAGGAAGGGGGTGAGACACCCTAAAAATGTTCAAGCTGTAACAATCATGTTACCCTCATGTTAAATGTGGCTTGAAGCACAGCTATAAATGTGAAAGTCTATACTCTGGCAGAGTTTTAGACTTTTGCTTAGACTTCTTTTTTAGGTTTTTAACTTCAATTCCTTTCTATTATGTTGTGCTTTTGCTATAGGGTAGAAGAAGTAGAATTAAGCTACTGGTTTACTATGGCTTGTTGCGCTTTGCTCATTTGCCATACGATAAGTGATCAGTGTGAAGCATTTATTTCTAAATATTCAGGGACATAATCATTATTGTGAAGTTGTTCCTGGGCTTATAATTAGAAGGCACAAGCGTATTAAAGGTATAGACCAGTCAAAGTTTTTTTTTTTTGTTTTTTTTTTTTATACATGCAAATGGTGAACAGCCAACCTGCACAGGGCTTCTGCTTTATGAATTCTAAAACGAACATTTTATTAGTATTCTGGTAGCATTGCCTTGGTCAGGCTTTTCATAAAGAGGCATTTTTTTTTAAATTGTATTTTTAACTGTGCCATCAACCGCTTCTGACTGATATTCTCACACGTTGGCAATTAAATTTGAGAAACTCTCACTGTATGTGCTCCCATTCATACAGCATACCTGCAAAATAACGGATTGGCTGCAATCACTCTTTGGTTGATGATTTCCCATCATGTACCTTTGGAAAAAGTCAATCTAATGATAGACCTCTGTGTGAGGGAATAGGGCTGGCCATGGATCCAAATTTTGCTCTGTGTACCCAGCTTTAGTCAGATAAACCAGCATGTTTTAGGTTTTTTCATTTTTGAACCGCTTCCAACAATATTCTTAGCTGCATTTCATTTTCTTGTGAAAGAAGTGAAGTCTAAAGCAATCTTAAACAAAAGTACCATCAAGAAATTGTGTCTGATTGATGAAAATTGCAATGCTGGTTAAAAACTCCATCCACGTTTAAAAGAAAAACTAACCTTAAAAACATTACCATCTTCAGTTTTTTCCTACTAGATATAAAGCATCAGTCTTATCTTATGCACTCTATGCCTTTTTGGAGTAATATTTTTCCCCTTACGTTTGCTATTGCTTCCTGCAGCGTTCATGCTCATGGTATTTCACGTTAGTCCAAGTGTGAAATGTTTATCAACCCTTGAAAGATCATAGTGCGTGTCAGGCTTATCTCAGTGATTCAGAGGAATGGCAAATGGTTTGGAGCTGCCAGGCTTTATAAAGCATGGAGACACGTTTTATATATTTTAACAGCTCAGCTCAGAGCCCATTGCTGTTGATGGTTAATGATATTGGTTGCATTTAAAATGTAGCGAGAAGTGTGGACTTTTTTTGTTGTTCCCACTTTCTTTTGTTCCCATGCATGTTTTTGTGTCTAGTGCTTTTTTTTTTTTACAGACTTGCAGCATATTTCATAGTATACAAGTTGCGATGGCAGAACCTGTTTTCATGGCCACAATAAAGAATCATGGGCAAAAGTAAAACAAATCTTATGTGCATACATACACACCCACAGCAGCGACCAGAAAAGCTTGTTTTTTGTTTAGTTTGTAATTAATTAAACGGGAGCATGAGAGCAGCCTTATAGGCTCCAAAAACAACTCATCTTGATACTTTACCTTAACAATTGTTGTATGGTAACTGCAGTTTTACAATGCTATAGAAAAAAAAATTGAAATGGTAACCGAAACCCCCAGTGCAAATCAGGGCTGCTTTGCACTGCTTTTGTAGTATCCTATGCATTGCTGTTGTCAACAGCGATGCCAGTTATCTCCAGCTCTGAGCAGGTCATTGGATCTTCCATTCCCTGTGCCTGAACACTGCTGTAGAGGATCCCTGGCACATGTGGAGGACATCACTGCCAGGTGCCAGTCAGCACAAAGCAGAATTTAGTCTGCATCTGATGTTGCTTACCATTTTATTCATAGGGTTTGGGGGTTGGAGTACTTCAAAACTACAAATACCCTTACATTTTTAAATTATGTACATTTTGATTTAGTTATTACACATACTATAATGTCACTCCGGTACTAATTGAGGTTGGATTTGTTTTCTCTTTTTTTTATGCAGTATCACAGGCAAGGCCTCCACCCAATCAAAAGAAAGGTAAGATATATGTATATTCTATATATAATTTGGTGTGTGTTTTTTTTTCTTCTTCTGTAGGGGTGCAGAAAAGCAGCCCATAGTGTCAAATGCAGTTAGTGCTTAATGGTTGCCCTTGGTTTTATCTCGGACATGTAGAAGAATTGTGTGCTTTTTGTCAGTGTTTGTTTGGGAAGGCATGGCTTCCACCATTTTTTAAAAAAAAACTGAAAAATAGTGTTTGTCTTGAGATATAGTTTGCATTTTAGCTTCCCTGTTAGCTTCAGGACTGAGGCTGATTTTTAGTAATGGATTAAATTTAGAAATCTAATCTGTTCAGCTACCAGAAACTCTGAAAGTTTCTCTGTTTTTTAGAATTTTTTTCTTAGTTTCAACTTTTTTCTTGCCTTGCATAGTAAAGACTTAACTTTATCGACTTCAATTCCAGGTTCACGTACGCCTATAATAATTATACCAGCTGCTACAACTTCCCTGATAACCATGCTGAATTCTAAAGATCTCCTTCAGGATCTTAAGTGAGTAGTTTATCCTTGGTACATGTACTGCTAACTGATATAATAATGATATAGAAGCCCAGTGCCAAGTTATTCGGACCTGTCAAAACATTTTAAGACATCCTGATGGTATCAAAGCTTGCTCAGCCATTCTCATTCCCCACCCCTTCATTTTGGCCAGTTATGCATCCTATCATAGTGGTTTATGGGCCAATAGGCAGCAGGCAAGTGTTTGGCACTACCAGGTAATGTTGGAGCTTTGCTTGATCAGGACAGCCCAGCATGCAAGGTATTAAAAGCTATTTGTACATATGAAATATCTGCTCTGCAAATGGAAAAAAAAAAGCTCCCGACAGGAATTGTGGCAGTTACTTTAACATTGTTTTGTCGTGTGTTTACTGCCTCATGGCAAGAATCGGCAGCTGGACTCCAGCAGTGGACAGGTTAGTTGGAGCCTGTTCACTGTTGAAGTGCTCTAAAAAGTAGACACATCACATACTTGCTTTCAAAATGTTTCCGTTGGTGAACCTACAGGAGCATACACAAGAATTTGCACGTCAAAGGAGCACAGGGGCAAAGTATCTTTTACAGGAATAGATCTACAGACTGTTTCAATAATGCCTTGCTTATTAGGACATCTACTGCATGTGGAACTAAACGTTTTAATAGTAAATACACCATATTTCTGTGTTAGTGTTTGTAGTTTACTAAACCAAATGTTCCTACATAATGTCATTTAAATAGTTAATGAGATTACATTTTCTAAAAGATAATGTAGGATTAAGTAGTCTGCCAATATTTGTTAACCTCAGTTCTCGAATTATCCTGACAAGTCTTGTTAAGTTTCGTACATCACAGGACATAAGTAATTCTGTCCCACTTCCAGCCTGCTTCAGTTTTTTGCTAATGTCCCTAGGGGATGGACATCTTTGTTTTCTGAGAGAAGCACATCCTTTCTGTTTTGCACCTACCTGCTTACAAATCTTATAGCTAATTTTCTTAAACTGCTCACAGCCAGTGTGGCACCTAATGGTAGCTATCCGGGTGGGTTTTCCCATTGGCAGACCATGCCCTGACCCTGCTTGGAGGAACAAATGGGGCTGGCCTATAATGTGCTCAGTCACGAAACCCTGTGTTTGGCGCCTTCCTTGGCAGTTTGTGCAATGAGTGTGGCTAGCGGGTAAGCCTCAGCCATCTCCCGCAGGTGCCCAAGCGGTATGCCTCTGGTGAGACGTGAAGGTTGTTTTTTAAGGTGTTAAATTTGGCGCCATAATTTTTTTCCATAATACCTAGGGGCTGGAAACCATGCCTACACAGCCTCCTCACCAGGTACTGTACTGCACATGTGCCTGCTATTTTTTCATTTCTGGTGTGCCCTTTCTTGCGTGACCCACTCTTCGGCTGCTACAATTCTGCATGCACAAGGAAAAAGCCTCACTGCCACATACTGCACATCACTCTTGTTCAAGCCTGGGTCACCCTTTGCTGCCAACAGTGTCTGGGCACGGGGCACCCTTCTCACCTCTGGCTGTGAGTTTTGTGGGGGTATGCACATGGCAGATTATAGGCATGGGGCAACTGTGGTTGGGCAAATGCACACAGTCTGATTGCCGCTCAGGCGAGGCCACCTTTTATTTCTGTTAGTCCCATGCTGTGCTCCCTATCCCCTTCACTGTTAGCATCAGGGTCTCCTCTGCTCCCTCTGGGTCACCCTTCTCGGATTTGGTTTGTAGAGAGAAATTCACTGCCATTATGAAGAATTTTATGGGGAAGATAGCTGATCTCTTTGATATGGCCTGTGTTCACACTTTTTGAACGAAAGGAAGATGAGAATATTTTCTCTAAGCTAAAGGACACAATTTCTGTCCCTGTGGACACGATCCACACTTTACAGTACAACAGTATACAGTGCAAATAACCAAGAGGATCATTTCAAAAGAACTTGAAAACTAGCCAAGCATTCCAAGCAACAATAAGTGATAATGCTATTAGCAGTTGAAAATTACTTTATACAGAGGTCGTGGTGGAGTTATACCAATGGACCCACGGATACTATTTGCAATCAAATTTAGCTATAGCTCCGTCCCTATAGGATAAGATTATGTTGTATTGATGGTCTAATTTAACAATTTGAGAATGTTTTGCTTATACAGGGGGCTAAAGTATTCTTCCAATGTCTGACTCTAGTTTAATTTAGCTGCTAGCAATATATGAATTACCAGGTTCACGTACGCCTATAATAATTATACCAGCTGCTACAACTTCCCTGATAACCATGCTGAATTCTAAAGATCTCCTTCAGGATCTTAAGTGAGTCGTTATTCATTTTAGATGGTACAGGTACTGCTAACTGATATAATGATATAGAAGAGCCCCGGCTCTGCCCCAGTGCCAAGTTATGTGGATCTCTCCAAAAATGTTAAGTCATCCTGATGGTATCAAAGCTTTCTCAGCCATTCTCAATCCCCACCCCTACATTTTGACCAGTTAGGCATCCCATCATAGTAGTTTATGGGCCAATAGGCAGCAATATATGAAGTACCAAGCTGCGGATGGAAACAGGGAGTAGATCTATTCTAATAGAAAGAATGGCTAAAAAATGGGTTGGGTTCTATGAAGATCCCAGTTATATCTGAGATTCTTTTAAAAATTTCCCTCCAGAAGCTTCTAAAACGACAATCCCATGAGATGTGGTATAAGCTGCCCATTTGCCCACAACCCCTCAACCCCATGAGATGACGAGGGAGCATGAAGCCGACTTCCTGGCCAATCACAATGCCGGGCGCTGCATCATTACACAGCACCTGGATTCCTGATTGGCCAGCTTCCTGACCAATCAAGAGGCCGGGCAGTGCGTCATTACACGTTGCCCAGCTTCTTGATTGGCCGGGAAGTCGGCTCCATGCGCTCTCATCACAAGTGACGAGAGCATGGAGTCGCTTCCCGGCCAATCGGGAACCCAGGACGTGTAATGATGCACTGCCCAGCTTCCTGATGCAGGAAGTATCTGGCTAGGCATCGGAGCATTTGGGCAAGTATGAGTACTCGCCCAAATACTCGGTATCGGCACCGATATCGATACTAGTATCAGTATCTGTGCATCCCTAATGCTAACCTAGCCGACCAAGACAGATATGATCTCTCCATGGATCACCTGAAAAAGGTTGGTAGTCCTTTAATTTTAAGGAACAGCGGGATTGAGTTACAATCAGGGATGCACCGATATCGGTGCCGATACCGAGTATTTGGTCGAGTACTCGCCCAAATGCTCCGATGCCTAGCATGAGTACTGCTCGGCGAGTACCAAAAAAAAAATTATCGGTACTCGGTACCAAAATACCGGTATTGGTGCATCCCTAGTTACAATGATGCCTGAATAAGAAATCCTCATATCTTTCCAAGTGTAAGGGAAGGAGGTCTGTAATGTGGATCTGATCCGTGGGTCCAGGCCTAGGTCAAGAATATAGGATTTAGATTAACTTTTATAATACCAAATTTGACTGAGCTAAGTAGCGCACAAACGGCAGCCAAGGATTTTTCAGGGTCAGTGAGCATCAGCAGCAATAAGACTAATGGAGTGAGTACTACGATTTAACTTAAAGCTGGCCATACACCTTACAATTATCTGCAGATTTTCTGTGGTCAGATGGAAAAGCTGCAACAGATTCCTTCATCTACACTTAACTGTGTGGATGGAGTAATCTCCACCTGGGCCAATCTGTTGCACTTTTTCCATCTGACCACAGAAAATCTGCAGATAATTGTAAGGTGTATGGGCACCTTAACACCCGTGACATCTGACGGCCACTGCAAGAGGTTAAATAAGCATGTTAAAGATTAAGGGGGAGAGAGAGGACTACACCCCTGTCTTGTGCTATTTGTAACATTTTGTTTCTTTGAGTTCATCACAGACCACTACCCTCCTGGTTTTCTGTGATACTGCTTGCTACAAAACAGAGGCAGGGTGGGAGTGGGGTGGCTAATGCAGTTCTGTCCTGAAGCTTTGATTTCACAATCTTCACCTGAAGGTAGCTGCATAACCCATCCATCCCAGAATTGACTCCCAGTGTCCTGTAATGTACAATTAAACTTAAAGTAAAAAAGGATAACTGAAATATATTTTACTGGTAGAACAAGCATGTTTCACTCAGTGGGAAAAGCACATGGCAGACACAAGTGCAGGAGGTTCCTGTCACTGTTCTGCAAAATGTTACTGAAACATATATAATATAAAGAACTAAAGTTTTTTTTGTTTTTTCCTTTTTTTTTTAAATGCAGACACAGAGTGCAAGTTAAATATAGTGCATGCATGCAGTCTTGCAAAACTGTGCCTTGTGACTTTTCCAGAAGGTCTCCTAGCTGTTCTGCCGCCACACTACAGGATCTGGAATTCTTTATAACCTATTGGCTACAGCTTTGGTCATGGTTTTGCACACCACCATCCTCTTAGGTGCATAATGACATACATTTTTTTAGGGATACACAGATACTAGTATCAGTGCCAATACCGAGTATTTTTGCGAAAATCCTCCCAAATTCTCCGATCCCTAGTCTGATACCCAAACTTCCAGTATCGGGAAGCCGGGCTGGCTTCCTTAATGGGACTTCCGGTATTGGTTGTCGGCATCGCCGAGTACCGAAAAAAAAATATTGGTACTTGATCCCGAAACACCGGAATCGGTGGATCCCCACTATTTTTGCATAAGGGGGCAAAGACCATCGCTGCACAAAACAATGTGACCCCTCCAGCTCTTACCTCTGTTCTCCCTTCTCATTTGATACAGCTGCATTTTTAAAAATTCTTAAGTGACTGACAGAGCAGAAAGTGGCAGGATTATGAATGAATAGAGCCTCCCTATTGTATGCCAAATTTGTGGCAAACAATAATAGTTTTGACAGAGAACCCCCTGTAAAGAAATTAATTCACCTCCCTCTAATGGTAGTCTTATCACCTACCGGTAATGCAAAGAAACAGACTAGTCAAGAGGACATATATAAAGTAAAAAGCACTCTGACGAAGGGGGCGTGCCCCGGAAACGCGTTAACGTCACTAGCATACAGGAATCGTCCAGTGGATGCACACTGCCTGTCAGCTTATATTTCATCTCATGTTTGCGAGTACGTTTTTTTTGTTTTTTGTTTATCTGCTGTTCACTGAAATAAAATTGACCTGCACCAGGAAAGGCGCCCCCTTGTGTTTACTTTAAAGAGGACATATATAGATAATGCAAAAGGCAAGGCAGATTTGCAAGTATCCATGAATGCACAATTTTTAGCTTGAAATTTCAGTGCTTGTATTCAAATATATAACCTATAGTTCTGCTTTAAATGCTTTTCATCATGTTTAGCGGTATCGGGCGTTCCTAATTTTAAATATTGTTTTTGTTGTAGAATGCTCTTTCTGAAAATGTTAACAGTTTCACTGGGTGGTCTTGCATGAGGGTCATTCAGTCAGTGGTGTGCATGAACCATTAGGAAGGAACTTAATGTCACTGCAGCAAGAAAGGTAGATCCCATCCTATCCTATCCTATCCAGGGCAGATCTCTATATCCCTGCCTTAGATGCACTAGGGGCTCAGTGGGATCAGTACCCCCTAATCTTTTTCCTTCTTGGAAACTTCTTCCTTGACTGCTTCCCAGGATCAAAATGGAGGGCATTCCAGTGATCCTTATTGCTCCTAACTGGCCCAGGCAGATGTAATATACCGAGCTTGTGCGATTCTTGGTAGACACTCTATTGGGTCTGCCAGATCGTCAAGATCTTCTATGCATGTCTATAATTTCGTTTTCCTTGTAGCCATCACCACTGTATGGCGAGTGTCTGAACTGATGGCTCCATCCTGCAAGAAACCCTTTCTGGTTTTGCAGAGGGGCAAGGTGTATTTAAGGGCCAGGTCTTTTCTTCCCTAAGGTAGTTTCTGCTTTTTACCTCAACCAGGACATTCTCCCATTCATCTGTCTGGCTTCAGTTTCCTCCATACGAGAGTCTCTCAGTCACTGCTACTTTCAGAAATGCAGATTCCCTTTTGGTCATCCCGGATGCACTGGCTTCTTTTCTATCAATGCTAGGTGCCTCAGACAGCCCATCCTTTAAGCTTTTGGTTGATGCCAGCTTTGAGTTCAAATTTCTTCTGGCAGCTCTTTGAGCTTCAGGCAGTCCTCATTTCTGTGTTCTTGTCTGTTAGTGTTTGTTTTGTTTGCTCTGTTGCAGCCCCGCCCCCCTCACACCCACCCCGCTCAGTTGGAATGCTTTAGGACATCCTGAAGGTTAAAGACTTTCTGTGTCCCTCAGTGGATGCCAGAGAAAATAGTGTTTGCCGTCGCCGTAAAATCCTTTTCCTAGAGTCTATTTAGGAACACAGGTCCCACCCCCCTCAGTGTTTGATATTGGCACTGCTCTGCTACAAAACTGAGGAAGGCTAGTAATAGATGGGGGTATCCTATCCTGCACTATTTTTTTCTGTTTGCTGGTGTCTAATCCTCTAGTAGGCGGCAGTATAACCAATAGGCTATAGGCTTCCTGTGTACCTCAATGGACTCCCAAGAACAGGATTTTACAGTGAGTACAAAAATCTCATTACTTTTGTCATGCCCTCTCATTGCTTCCAGCTTTGCCATAAATGGATCAATAAACCCGTTTTTACCTCTTCTTCTTTCTTCCTTTTTTTTTTTTTTTTAATGTTTAATATATTGTACTGAAATTTTTTTCTTTTTTTTTTCTTCAAAATATTTGTTTCCTCAGATGAAAAAAAGAAACAAGGCTGTCAGAGGGAAAATGAGGTACTAATTCAACGGCGAAAGGATCAAATTCAGCCTGGTGGCACAAGTATAAGTGTTACTGTTCCTTATAGAGTCATAGATCAGCCCCTGAAGCTTTTGCCTCAAGACTGGTATGTTCTGCACTTCTGTATTTGTGTTATTTTGTTTTACAAAGTGGTATATTAGTCTGTGATGCTTCTTGCCTCTAGAGCAGTGGTGGCGAACCTATGGCACGCGTGCCAGGGAGGGCACGCGAGGCCCTTTCTGCTGGCACGCGAGCCAGGGAGGGCACGCGAGGCCCTTTCTGCTGGCACGCGAGCCAAGGTTCAGGCACCACAACATTAAGGCAGCCGAGCTGTCTAATGCAGGCGGGCGAGAATCGACGAGCGAGCAAGAGGAGAGGGGGTACGGAGCGGCAGGGGGTGGAGACAGAGGGAGATGGGGGTGGAAATGAGAGGACGTGAAGAGACGGGGACGGAGCGGCATGAGACAGGGGGCGGAGACGGGGGAGATGAGGGGAGGGCAGAGACCGCGATGGAGGAGGCGTCGCCAAGGGGCCAGTCAAGCGGCGAAGCTGAGGCGATTGGGCGCCGAGGCAGCAGTGAAGGCTGGCCTTCCCGTGTAAGGTAGGAGCACTGTGCTGGCAGGGCCCAGCATAGATTATGCACAGCCCACCAAAGAGTCACAGGTAGGCTGTGCAATACCTTTTGGTGGGCTTTGCAGGATCCATGGGGGGCTCTGCAGCCTGCAAAGCCCACCACAGATCCTGCACAGCCCCCCTGAATAAACCCGAGCGCCCAAACTGCAATACTAAACTTAGTTTCAGCGCTGGCACTTTGAGATAAATTGATTTTGCGTCGCAGTTTGGGCACTCGGGTTCAAAAAGGTTCGCCATCACTGCTCTAGAGGGATATGTTCTCCACTTATCTGTTTCTGGCTACAGAAGAAAACATAACAAACATTTTTATTTAAAGTAAACCTGTCACAAAACTGGACAATTCAATCTAAGAATGCAGTGAAAACCTTTTATAATCAGACGTGAGTCAGTGCAAAAATGACCAGTAGATATGGAGTAGGCAATTTGAATTGTATGGAGATCTAATATTCTTGTAATTTTTTTTACTTGGTCTTTTTGCTTCTTGAGACTGCGTATAATGGTACCGGTTGGTTCATGTGAGGATTCATGTGGTTGGCTAGGCTCATCTCATCTAATACAGAAAAAGTTTACATTTGCATATACATTTCAGCTGCCTTTCCCTACACATATATTGATCTTTTTAGATGCTTATGTTTTTTGATCTGCTCAGTTTACATTGCCCAGATTTGTGACAGCCCTGCTTTAAAGTTGTTTGTTCATTTTCTATTATGCTTCTCTTTGGTGCTTTTACTTTATTGTTGCTGAAGATTGAAAGCGTATTTCAACTTTTCCAGCCAAATTGGGATAACTCCTGTTGCCCAGTTTCTCTCTTTTTCGGCCCCGGCATCTATTTGTTTATTGACTTCAGTGTGTCTGTTCGACAGTACAATCTTAAAACACTTTAATATGAAAACATTTAGAATGTGTATAGAAATATCAATGAAAGCAAGTGCATAAGCTGCTGATATGCCTTTCTTTCTCTGGGATGTTACTTTCTGTTTTTTCTTTGTTTATAAAGTTCATATAATTAGTTTTGTCGATAATATATACCTTATTTTTTTAAAGGGATCGTGTGGTAGCTGTGTTTGTTCAGGGCCCTGCTTGGCAGTTCAAAGGGTGGCCATGGTTATTGCCTGATGGATCTCCAGTCGATATCTTTGCAAAAAGTAAGCCGTTGCACTGTTTTAAAGTAATCTGTTTTTGAGTAGCTTCGAAGGTTTATTATGTACCACTGAAAATCATGGGTAGAGAAAAATTCCCACATGAGCATAATGACTAAAATATAGCTTGGTCATGTGGCAATCTGTTTACCCAGATTTTTTTAATATCACTTATCTAGATTTTTAAATTGCCGTATAAAAGTAAATGTGTACAAATATAGCTATAACTCGACAATGGTTACTTCTGATTTTCTCTAGTTAAAGCCTTCCATCTTAAGTATGATGAAGTTCGACTGGACCCCAATGTGCAGAAATGGGATGTTACATTGTTGGAATTGAGCTACCACAAAAGACATCTGGATAGACCTGTTTTCTTGAAATTTTGGGAAACCCTGGACAGGTACTGACTTATTGTTGTACTTATTTTTTGATATATCTGGAGAAAAAAAAAGGGTAGACAAATGATAGTTTCAGTATAATTTAACATTTTCTAAAGTTGTGACTGAATGGTTTACATTGATAACATTCATAGATATTTCATTATGATATGCTCTACTGTCATCCTTTTAAATGGTTATGCTAACTTTTTTTAGATAGGTGCATGTGCCCTATTTTGGTTTTCAAAATTGATATTTTCAAATAATGTAGTGTTTCTAACACTGAACATAAACTAAATTTTTTTTTGTTTTTGTTTTTTTTTTAGATACATGGTGAAGCACAAATCACACCTACGGTTCTGAAATATATATTTCTGCATTTGAAGAGCAAATTAGGGATTTATGGAATACCCTAAGGGTGGAACTGTTGTAAAAATTGCCTTGAACAACCAACCATCTTGGTTCCAAGGACTAACTGCCATAACTTGCAATCACAATAAATAGTGTGATATTTTTTAATTCAAGTTTGCATAATGTCTACAATTCAAATTGTATATTTTGATAGTCATTGATACTTTTGTTTTAAACAGCGTTTTGTTTAGATTTTGTTTATAGAACGCACGGCTCTATGCTACTGGTGCATCCTGTAATGAACTGCCCTTCCTACTCAGAAATCTGTTTTCCATTAAATGTGTAAAACTGCAGTTTAGCATTGAAAAATTGCCAAACTGGGTTAAGAAATTGTGTACAGTAGTGCAAATGGGGATTCAAATATATATATTTTCTGTTTATGTACAAAAAGGAAATATAAATATTACCTTTTTTTCACAAGTTAAGTTTGCTTTCTCTTTCCCACAGATGTCTAAGGTCAGCTGAGGTCAAAATATAAATCAATAAAAAAAAAATAAGCTCCACTGGTCTGTATTGATTCTAGTATGTATTATGTAGCATTTAAATGGCAACTCCAGTCAAAATGCTGAATACATAGCTGACACACATACAGGAATGGTTTTACCATAATAATGCTTTATCACCGCAGATCATTAGAGTAATAACCTTTTTTTTTTTTTTTTTTTTTTTTTTT